TTTTCTTTTTTTTTTTTTTTTTTTTAATTGAAAAATAACCTCTTCCTGGAGGCTTCACTCAAGCTAACTGTAGCGACAAAAGAGCTTGAAAAGGCACCTACACGAGTACAGCATCGCGGCTTGAGTAATTGCTAGATTACACGTTTAGCATTCATTTCAGTACAGTCGTTTTAACACTTGAGCAAAAGATAGGAAAGTAGAATTTTCACACAAAATAAAGGAAAAATAAAAAGCTGTGTGAGGACTCCTGGGTGCCTTTCGTGGAGCAGTTTCAGCTGGATGCTGTCTTTGGTCAGGTCAATGCCGATGCAGCTATATGGGGGAGGAATAAGGCAGCACGTGGTTATGGATGGAAGAAGGGGTGGGGGAAAAACGCCACCTTCCGTTGCCCTGTATGGAATTGGTATTTGGCCCTAGGAAAAGCCCATGTGTTGGTACTGGATGCAGGAGCTTTAGACCTCTGAGTGAGAAAGGCTGTTAATGGCAGTCTTACTCCCTTTCTGCTTGAGAATGCAGAACTCTGAGAGTTTCATGAAAAAGGCATGACCCTCTTTGAAGTCCAAGGAAAAGTTAGTAATAATCTAAAAGATCCTGACCCCTATTTAGTTCTGCATCAAATGGAATAACAATGCAATTAATTTAATGGCACGTGTAGAATATGCAAAAGACCATGGTGCAGAGGTCTGAAGATTGACATACTTGCACTGTGCAACCATCTGTAGAAACCACATCATTCAGGTGGGGAGGGACCCCAGGAGGTCTCTGCTCCAGCCTGCTGCTCACAGCAGGGTCAGCGCTGGGGCCAGTTCAGGTTGCTCAGAGCTTTATCCGGTCGGTCTTGGAAACCACCAAGGACTGAGACTAGGCAGCCTGTACCATTGCTTGCCTGCCCTCATGAGGGGAAAAAAATTCTAATATCCAGTCAGAATATTCTTTCAGTTTATGCCTGTTGTCTTTCCTAAGCCCTAGTGTGTGTCTCGGAAACAGCAGCTTGTGACTCTAGGTAACTGAGTGCTGATGTTGCAGCACTGTTGCTGGTCCCAAGAGGATGCTTTAAAATAGTACTGCTGGCTCAAATGTCTCTTCTGATGTGTAGATGTGCTGTGGTTGCCCATGTTCCCATGGTAAAGAGTGACCAAGCTATGCAAAAATTAAGTTTAAAATTACGGGTCTGAAGTTATATATATTGACGGAATTGTCAATATCTAGAGAAAGCTGCCCATCTCAAAAGGAACAATTGGGAATCCCATTTTGGAGGTGTAATTATTATTGGATAAATTTCTGTGACGCAACTTCTGTTATCACAGCTTTTCAAACTGAAGAACGGCTATCCAGTTCTCCCATGGGTCATACTGTAGCTATATCACATCCCTAATTGAAACTACTGTCAAGATGTATGGTTTTGCAATTACCTGTTTGCTGTAGCTCCCTGAAAGATGGTTTGGAAGTGACTGGTCTTCGGTGTTTAGGCCGGGACTGCTAGTAAACATGTTTGGTGTTTGTGTGATTGCCATAGACCGGGATAACTTGTTTCGTCTGCTGAGGAACTTTTAACAGTGGGGATCCTTTTGGCTTGTTTTTATGCTCACCTTGAGGAAAGAATAAGAAAAGTTTTTCATAGGTCTTCATGTGTTAATTAGGAAAGTTCAGTAGCTTTTAAAGACAATTAAATGTGTAACGTGACATTCTATTTTGAAACCAGAAACTCTTCGGCTTAGTTGAAAGATTTATTTTACATTCTAAGACTGTAGTGCTGGCAGAATTCACAAAAGTAAAAGATGTAATGGTCTCGTTTAAAACCATCTTTGCCTGGCAATTGAGTGATAACTGTAATTGTTCTTGATAATATATTTCAGTGTTTCTGGGATTACTTTAAAAGTGTTAAAGATCAAAAAAAGTGTGCCTTCTCTTCTTGAAGGGAAAAGTAAGAGATACAATTGAAGACTGAATGAAATCAGGAATGTCCTAGGCTAGGATCAGGGAGTAGTGATAAGACTCGGCATGAATGAAGTGGAAGCGTCAGGAGTTTTGGAAGGGAGCTGTGTGGAAAGGTGAGTTGCTAGTCTGATTTCTTGGGTGCCCTTGCTAGTCTGTGTGTGGAACAAAAGTGGATGGGGCTATAATTACAGTACAACTACAGCTATGTAAGTGAAGGGCATTTTGGATCATACACAAAGTACACCTGAAATGTATTGACAAAGAAAGATGTATCTCTTCATCTGCTTTAGGAGAAGAGGAGGAGACCACCTGCATGACAAACTAGCTAAAGTAAGGTAGGCAAGTTTTATGCTAAAAAAGCAAGTCTGATACCTGATTAATATATGGCACTTCAGCTAAGAGCTAAGGAGTCCCAGAAGGTATTGATATGAAATTCTCCAACTGTTTGTCCTAATATGACGGTTAAGAACAAGAAAACGGGGGTGGTAAAACTAAATGTGATAGCCTCCAGACAAAGGTGTTCAAAAGTACACCATAAGATTGAATGTTCACGTATGATAAACTGAATGACTTTAAATCTTCAGGGCAACGTTATTTTAGGTTCTAGAATTGGCCAAGGAGGTCTATGAATTAACAATAGCTGTAGTTTTTAACTAAAATTAAAAAAAAAAACAACCAAACAAAAAAAACCTAGTAAAATTTGCAGATAACTTTTGAGATGTATCACTGTGTTAATAACTGAGAAAAGAGGGAACCATAGACTTGCCATCCTTAAGCAAAATACACAGCAGGGTGAAAAGTTCCGCAAAGAATGGCATGGATTGTGGATAATAGTGGGGGAGAAAAAAAGAATAGTAACATAATTAATGTAGTTTTGTGGAAAATAGATGTTTGTCCCAAGAAGGGAGGCTTTTGATGATTTCCTAATACTGACATAGTACTAGTGTGTGAAACACTTCTTTATGATACTTCTGGGTTTTGGCTCTAAATATAATCGGTGCCGTCAATATTAAATTAATAGCTCTTAAAAGGAATAAGGAAAAAATAATTAGTTTTCTTTTTGGACATTTGTAGTACAGTCATACTAGGATATGGGGGTTTTTAGCCCTGATAACTGTTTGATCTCTATTTGTGTTGCTTTATAGAACTTGCAGATGTTATAAATTGAATGATAAATAATTATTGGTGCAATTCTAATGTTTGAATTGCTTAGCAAATCTGATAAAGCCAGGAAGAAAGAAGGAGACTCACGCTTCCAGTGTGAGGTGGTATCTTGAATTCCTGGGATATTTAGGGTTGTAGTGGTAAACAATTTAATCTCTAAAGAGCGATGCTATAACTAAAAGGGTGACTGCTTTTTCAGGCACAGAAAGCACCTCAGTAGCAGAATATTTAGAATGACTAGTAGTGGCTAAAAGTAATGCAAGGTTTGAAAATGTCTTACTGACATTTAGTTTGCTATTGTATTTGTCTTTCTTTTTAAACTTACTGTGGATAGAAATTAATAAGAACTAAAGGATAAATACCCGTGCAGTGGTATCTAGAATCTGTCTTCCTTCTATTTCCAAATTCAGGCAAAAACAAATTCAGAAAGAAGCATTTTTGGCAAGACCGTTGAGGAAACTTGCATAGGCATGTGCTTGGTACTACACTGCTCCAAACCACTGGATACTCTAATATAAAACTGGATTTGTATGTCTTACAGATGTGAAGCAAAAAATAATGGGCAACAACCTTTTCTTTTTCACAGCAGATCAGATTGAGAGGCTGTGGTAGTTATCTGCTATTGACATTCATACTTACACTGATTAAGGATTTTCAGGTTTCCCTGAAATTAGAAAGATATTTGCATTTCAGCTTCAACTTTTGCGCTTATTGGATAATTTTGAAACAGAAAATGTTTTCTGAAACAATCTTATACTTTCTTTTGACACAGCTGGAGTTGATATAAACTCTGCACTCATCTAAACGTAGACAGTGGAAGAAGAGCCAAATACAAATTCTGGCAGTGGATAATAATACGTCCTAAATCTATCGATTTTATTTTCCCTAATGAAAGGGATGTTACTTTTTGCTACACTGTGGAGACTGATTGAATTTGATTACTTGTTCAGAGTGTTAAGGAATGAGAAAGATAAAAGCGGTCTTACTTAGTTCTTAAAAAAAGCATATATATTGCAGTCAAATTCTTGCTAGGTTTGTGGCCTGGCAGGATAAGGGAACAGGCTACAAGCACTTCCGTAGGGACAACAGGAGGGGAAAAAGAGTCTGAGTCAGGGCTGTGTAGTAAGAAATTTTTCATAGCACTTTACAAAAATGCTATAGTGACAATACTTTATGATCTTTATTTCTTATTATTTTAATGTGTTTTTTCTCTTGTAGATAAAGTCTGGGGTAAAATTGAAATAGTATTGATAATATCCTTGCAACGATACTTAAAATTTAAAAGTTTCAGTTCTTCAGATAACCAGGATGCACTTCCGGTGGGACTGGCTGTGCCTGGGTGTCCTGATAATTAGCTCAGTGACCGCAGAAATTGAAAACGAAGAAACTCTTGATGCAGATGTTGAAGTGGAGGATTTTGACAAGCAGCCTCAAGAAGCTGATGTTGACAGAGATAAATCTTCCTTAGAGGTAAGATTACAGAAGTCTTTAGTTAAAGCTTGTTTAATTATAAGATACGTAGTTATAACTAGTAGAGAAATTGGTAGACAAATGCATTTAAAAAAGAGCAAGTTAATACACAGTTGACAACTGAGTGGGTGTCAAACCCACCAGTCTGAGTTTTTCAGTTGCTGTGTGTGACATGTAGGGCAAGCTTAATGAATGATTCTACTACGTCAAAGTGTAAAATCGGATCTCCTGCCTGTGGAGGAGAGTCACGAAGAAGTCTGTCCTTCAATCTAGATACAGAAGTATCTAGATGTAAGATGTAAGATCTAGATGTAAGTCCTAACGTGCCAATTCTACAGAAGAAAGCAGAAAGCATCTTGGTCTTACTGAGATTTTGACTTTAAACCAGTTTCTTGATTTCATCAGTCACAGCTGTCTTTTGACACAGTCTTTATTCCCGGAAAATCTTTCTGCATTTGTTATGCTGTACTTCAAAATAGATGTGGGCAATATTTATAAATTATTTTTTCAACTTTCTTTTTACTATGTAGCCCAACTGTAATGTGCCAAGTAGATAGGAAAACAGAATGGAAAACACGTATAGAAAGAAATAGGGAGGAAGCCAGAGAATTGGTGCAAGTTTAGTAAATTTTCTGGGTTTTTGTTACACGTAAGATGTGTAATGGTACTTCAGTTATGGGCTTTGAACGCAGGAGGGAATTTTTAAAATTCACAGATGTGAAATTGCTCACTGTTAGAGGGATGCGCCCAAACTATAGAAATGAGAGGGGCGGGGAAAGGTGTTTTATGCTGCTGGATGTTTCTAATGAACAAAATCTGGTGGTCTGTCTGGGTGGACTACTTCTGGAGGTATGATAGTGTATTTCAAATGAAAAATTGTAATTTATGTTAGAGCGTGTATCTGTACATGCCTCTTAGGTTGTGTACCAGACTCCGAAGCCATCTGGAGAAGTATATTTTACAGAAACCTTTGATGGAGTATTGGCTGGGTAAGTTTACGTCTTAAAATTATAAACTTTTCCCTTCAGCGGTTTAACTTAGAGTGCAGGACTTATTTTTGTATTCATTTTTCTGCTAGTATCTTTATAAAAATTAATTTTTACAGGGGTTAGAATTGGGAAGGCTGGTAATGCTTGCTCCAAATACGTCATAATGTTAAGCCGGACAGTTAACATTTCAGGTATGTTGCTATTTTTTGTGTTTTAAGGAAGCTTTTAATAAACTCTGGGTTTATGGACATTAAGAAAAATAATGTAATTTAAAGATTTAGCCAGCTGAGTTTAACTAGATGCAAGGTGAAGTGCGTAGCCATTACGCTGCAGTAGCAAATTCTTTCTTTCTCTTCACGTGCACTTAGGTATGTGTAAGACGGCAGCGCTTTCAGCATTATAGATAAAACCTCTTTTGGGGAAGACTTTTTTTAGCAGCTGTTTTATTTATTTTATTACTTCCCATACTCAATAAGAATTAGGTATTTGAGACTCCTGAAGTGTTCCTAGGTAGTTTGACCTTACTGCGTTGAAATTTTAGAAAAATCTTCAGGTTTAGCTCAACAATTCTTAGGCCAGAAATTTTTTCTTGTCTGTATCTTGTAAGTTTTCTTCCAACAGTGTGGCAATGAGTACCATGTAAACGTGGTCTGTATGATCACTGACTTTTCTTTTTTGAATCAAGCCAGGTTAGCATACTGTCACTGGCTCAAGTTAAGTAAGTGTGCATCCAGGTGGAATCTGTGAATGTAGTAGAAATCTCTTTAGTAAGAGCTGGTGTGATGAGTTGTTAGAGTACTTCTCTTGCTATGAGAAAAGCTTTTAAAATGTGAAAGCAAGTCTCTGGTTTTTAATGACAAATCGGGTCTTGTTACTGGTATATTTTTTCCTGTATACTTTGATGCTGTTGAACAAAAGAGCTATCTCTTGATCTGAGAAGAATAATGAAAAAAGATGTTTTCATATGTTACTAAAATTAATAGAACAAAAACTAACTTTCCTGTGAAGAGCCAGACGGAGAGGTGAAAGGACATGCAATATGATGCATTCATTGTCATAGAACTTAAAGCTGCCTATTTTTTACTTCCTGTGAGAAGACCTGAGATCCAGCTACTGTAGGAGTGAGGTTATACCATCATAAGACATGTATGTCTGTTGAGGATGCACGATCTAAACTGTAAACAAAATAACAGTAGCAGGCACCAGTAACTTTTGTAAGATTGAATCTTACTCCCTTTTTCCAATTGTTTCTAAACTGTTCTCTTCTGTAGAGTTACAGGGAACTTCAGGCCACTGAACATTAGTCTGTCATTACTCACATTATGTTCATTCATATTTTCTTATTTTTGTTTCATTTTTAGACTGAAATGTAGAAGGAAAATAAGTTAACAAGCTCCCGTCTTCAGTGTATCAAATGTCTTAATGATATGTCACTTCCAAATGTTAAGAAGTGCAATACAAAAGCAGTACCGATGATGACAGGAAAAATGATTAAATAGAAGAGGTGGTAATGAGTGTTAAAAAAATCGAAACAACTGAATACCTTGATTAACAAATGCAAAAACTTAACTGGGATACTTGAATGATATAATTCATCCCAATTTCTAGCTTCGTGAGACCTGCTCAAAGATTAGTTTGTCTTCCTACTAAATCTAATATTCAAAGCTTTAGCTACAATGCTTGGGATTTTTTGGTCTAGCTGTACGTAATTTACATAAGAACAAGAAGTATGGAACTAAGATGTATGAGAAAGTAAGCAGCATGTTGCCTTTCCTCTGTAAAATTGGGGAAAAGAGTACATATAAACTGACTAGGTAAATCACCAGGATAGAGTAGTTTTTTTGAGAACAGGCCTTGAAAATCTTCTGCATGACTTGTAGAGATGTTTTATTTCCTCATTGGTCTTTCTCCTGGTAGACCAAGGATCTAGTTTGCCATTTATACTGTGAAGCTTTTCCAGCATCTCTGTTAACAGTGAACGGATCTGACTGACATTTGAGCAGAAAAGATAAAGTATTAGTCTCTGAAATACTCCATGCAGAGGATAGTTCAGAATGAATGAAAATAGTTCTTTACAGAATTAATCACGAGAATGTAGTATTGTAGTTGATACAATGAAGAGTTCAGCAACACTGTTGGCTTAAGATACTCCTGTGCATGGCTCAGGATAGAACCACTGTATGACCAGATGAGGGTGGACTGCCCTTTTTTCTCCCCCCCAATGAATGCTTGGTGTGTAGGGTACGTGCATATCTTTTTGGTGACCTCAATTTGATAAGCTGAGTTTGCCTTGTTCATAGTATCAAGGAGATCAGGAGTTTGTTTGCACTTTTGGGATCCCCTGTGTGCAATACATTTGGAATCTGTTCAGTGCATTACTGCATTTCTCATTTAGACACTTCTACCTCTTCCTTTCGTCCTCTGCTGTGCGTGTGTACTGTTACTGTCAGATAGTGTTAAGGTTTCTTTGGGTGATTGTTTTCCTTTCCTTATCATATTGAAGGTTTTACACTTGAACCTTGCTATTTTTCATGTATTTTTGATATTATATGCATATGCAATATTCTTACATTCTGCCAAACTCAGCTTGTATATAAAACTGAAGTTTATTCAGAATCATTGAATTACTTCAGAGTTATAATTGTATATTCATTTACATTCTTAGGAAGTATTTTGAAATGCTATATTAGAGTAATCTATTTTAGTTTTTCTTTTCATGTTCTTTGAACTAGACAAAGTTCCATGATGCTGACCGTCAAAATCATTATCACAGGTTCACAGCCTAGAGGTGAAAGCTGGTTTTCCTGTGCTCGTTAAATAATACAGCTTTGCATAGATAGTTCAATGACTAGTACATCTTTTGGTTTAGGTGGGTGTTGTCTAAAACCAAGAAAGAAGACACGGATGACAATATTGCTAAATATGATGGTAAGCAGTTTTACTGTTTACTTCCACTATATAGTTTCTGATGTTCTGTTGCTCTTTGAGAAATAACTACCCCTTACACTGAACTTATCTTTGAAAACCTAGATGACATAAGTCAAAAATACTGGTTTGTATAATGACTGTTATCCTGAAACTGAGATGTGAAGTGTTGCTCTTTGGGTTACTTACCGTGAAGATGATTATTTTTGTCATCCCAACAATCTATTGCAATGAATGATACTAGAATACCCCCTGGTATCTGAATATTCAGTATTGATTGTTTATGAATAGTCTTTCTTGAGAACTGCCTTCTCTGAAATCATGTCAGAGAGATTTACCACTGCAATTTCAGTTGTTAAACATGTTTCTAAAGCAGCATATTCCATGTTGCTGTGTCTGTCCTACTGATTCATGGGTTGGTCTCCCAGTCTAGCCTCTGAAACAAAAAAGTTAAACTGAATGATGTTTTTCTTTAAAACACTTTTCCAGATTCTCTGTGCTTGAATGTAGGGTTCTCCAGTGGTTCTTATACAATTTATTCTTACAGTAGTCTTAAAAAAAAAAAAAATTGGAAAGTAATAATGAAAAAGTTGTTTTGATGGTTATCATCATTGGGGTTTGCACCTGACTTATAAACTCCTAGGCTAGAATTGCCTGCTTGAATGTAATTTTAAACTGTTTGACAGATGTGTGATCTGTGGCAATAATTTTGCAACCTGAATTTATTTCATTCAAGAGAAAGTGGGGAGAAGAAAAAAGTTTCTGCTGCAAAAGAAAAGTATTTGCTACTGCTCTTCTGTCAAATGAAATCAATTGATGTTAATGGAAACATTGAAGCAAACATAACTTGTAGGACTTAATGTGCAAAACAGTACAGAACAGATGTTTTTAGGTTTAGCAGTTACCAGGAATAACTGGTAAAAATAAAGAAGTTGCAGAGAAGATATCCATATAGATGAGATGCTTGTAAGAACTGATGTCTCTCTGCTTACTTGGCCTCATATTAGATAGAAATTGTCTCTAATGTCAAAACAGTCATATTTGCTTAAAGTCACCCAGACAATTCAACTTTAACAAAGTCTGTGGTGAAAAGACTTTTTTGAACTATTTTCCAATTTAATTTTTTTTTTGTCTTGTTGCTTTGCCTGGCATTATTGCTTGGTCTTAGCTTCCAGGAAGGAACACTATTGAAGAGGAGGGAATTTTCCTCCCTCCTGTTTAGCCGACTTAGAAGAAACTAGGGATTTGTTGTTGACGTACATATCTGCCCATCCTTAATGACCTTTCACAAATTGCACTTCACTTGAAAAAAAAAAAAAAAAAGGAAATAGCTGTTTCATTTGGATTTCACAGTTTATGAATCTTCTCTAAACCACATGCTGAAGAACTCATTACGTTTTCTTCCTTTTGTCCACGTTGACACAGGCTTTTTTCAAGATTACACTGAATTGTAAAAGTAGTCTTTCTTTTGCGCCGTGTTCATTCCTGGAAAAAAAATCAGTGAATCTTGTGCTGCTAATCTCTGAGAAAATAAAACTGCCCTTTTAGAAGTCTTGTTCTTTGGATATTGCCCACATGTGTAATCAACTGTATTCTTCCCAAGCTTGGTGAATTTATAACTATATAATCTTTTATTTTTAAAGCTGTAAGCTTGTTTGTTTGTCTTTAGGATCAAATCTGATAATTCTTAGAAAGACTTTGGGGGGTGGGGAGGTTTCATCTCCCATGTGATTAGATTTGACCTGAAAGACTCTAGTTCTATATAAGCAAGAGGGGAAGAACCATGCAGGTATCTAGCTTACGCAGTGCTTTCTGACTAATGCAGTTTGTGTCGATGGTAGGAATAAATCTAAAATCTGGAGAAACATTTTATGTTCCTCTAGGCATTGTGAGATACCACAGTCTAAAGATACAGATCTACAATATTAAAGTTTTCTTGTAGATTTCTGTAAATTTGAGAAGTGCAAGGAATAACTTCTACTTTGCACATGTGCCATCTTTAAAATATTGAAAGCTAGCATTATCTTAATTGGCTAGAACTGATATCTTTTGGTGAAATGGGAGAGTGGGCTTTTCTGTGCAGAGCTATGCATACCCAAAGTGTAGGCATCTCTTTAATTATGTGCCAATTTCTTAAGGCTGAAATAGATTTTTACAATAAAACTCATTAAATATGAATCAGAACTTTGAAACAGTCTCTATATTAACAATGCAAGCATTAGGCTTGAATAAAATGACATATCTGAACTGTATCAATTCTTCCATACAATATGGCAGTTAAACAGAAATCCAGTGGACATTGACACATGCTACAGGTTTGTGCAATAAACTTAATTAAAATGTTTTTACATAACAAAATTTATGTTAAATGTGTACTATTCAATTTCATTGGTTTATGCTGGATTATGGTAAAGATGTGGTTCTTTTCTACTTTGGAGTCCATGGCTGGCTTTTTTTTTTGTTCGTTTTAGTTGGAAAATTCTGTTTTACACATAAAACTGAGATTTTGATAGTTTTCTTTCTTTTGGCTATATCAATTATGAAACTGGGATATTTACTGCTGTAGAAACAGCTATTGGGGAAGGGGGGGCCCGGGAAGAAAAAGCTTGTCACTTGTTGTTGTTACAACTACTTGCACTCTTTTTCCCCTAAGCTTGCTTTCTTCCCTGCTGTCTGAGCCAGAACATTGGGTTAGATGGATCTTGGGCATGACACCGTTTTTTATTTTATCATCTGTGGAGCTGGAATTCTAGTGGTTTCTAATTCTTGAAAAGTGCTGGTTAAAACATTCTGTCACTGATTTGATAGAAAGATGTGAGCAGCAAATTTGTGTACCATGAATGGGTTTTTTTGTATTTGAGTGCTGTAGAGCAGTTAGTTTGGGGAAGTGTAAGCTGGACTTGAGTAATGTTTTGTATCCATGGTAGAATTACCAGTAATGAATTGGATGATTATTGTTTAACTTCTTTGACATCACATGTCAGGATTTCTTCGCTACTTTGGCAACTAGTCTTTATTTGCTGTTAACTCTTTGCTTTCAACAAGGCTATGATTTCTTTACTTCAGCCTGCATTTTTTTCAAAGACTCTCTGTGTGTGTGTGTGTGTTTTAGGAAGATGGGAAGTAGAAGAGCTGAAAGAAAATACAGTGCCTGGAGACAGAGGATTAGTGTTAAAATCGGTGGCAAAGCATCATGCAATATCAGCTATGCTAACAAAGGCATTTATTTTCGATAATAAGCCTTTGATTGTTCAGTAAGTAATCCTGCAGATTTTTTACTTAGTATTTATTATTGTTAAAATCTTTCAGTCAAGAAAATAATGTGAATCCGTGTAGAAAAATACTGACTTCCATGTAGCATTGACCTATCATATCCAGAGCTCTCAGAACTGTAAGTATGAATGATTTAATAATCAAGTAAGATTGTAGTACAAGTATTAAGAAGTGGTATTTAAACTCTTTTGAAATATTTTTTGACAGAAATCTAATATTTTACAAGATTGCTGAAAAAGCTAATTAATTTTCAGTCTTACTCTAAAAGATCTAAATCATGTGTCGTTTGAGTACAGTGTTTTTCCACTTAAGGAATACTTCTGTGTAGCTCCATAAAAGCAACTTGAATCTTGAATGCATTATAGCAATATTAGTGATGATGAGCACCATGGCAATATGACTGCTTTTTTCTGATATTCAGACTTGCTTTGTTGTACTTGCAGACATATCCAGGTAACTCCTCTGGCTAAATTCAGTGTGTCATATGGGCAGTTTCAAAGACAGCACAAACTTTCTACAACTCTTGCCCATTTCTACTTCACTTTGATACCACCTTGAAACTTTCCTTACTGGTGATACCAACTGTAGCAATTGCTACCATGGCGTTTTTTGACTGACATCGCTGCTGCATTAGCTTGTGTGGCAATTAAAACCTTTTGGTCATGTAGAAGTGTTTTGACAGTAGTGACTAATACACAGTCTTAATGTATTCATAATTAGAACTGCAGATTAGAAGCTAATTTGTATTTGTCTGATACTTGGAATGTTTTTTTTAACTTGTTCTTTGCCCAGATATGAAGTGAATTTTCAAGAAGGCATTGACTGTGGTGGTGCATATATTAAACTTCTCTCCAGTAGCGATGACTTGAATCTGGTATGTCCTCTTAGTTAACATTTGCTATCAGTTGTTCACTTGAGGAATGCATAATTGTTCTTGTGAAAAGTCAATAAGAAATTAATTCTTAATGCATCCTAAATTCTTAAAAGCTTCCCCAATGTCTAAGCAGAAGATTGGGCAAGATAATATACATATAACTTATTATGTATACACAAAATCTTTGGAGTTTTGCATATTTTACTGGTGGAATATTCGATAATGTTATTCTTGTTATAATTTCCATTTATTTTAATGAAACTTACAGGTAGTCTAAAACTTAAAGTAAGCTATTAAGATCTATATTCAGACAAGAAATCTCAGAATGTGAATTTCGGAAGGTTAGAATGAAGAGTTCGTTGTGATTAACATACTCCTCTTAGTTCTGCATGAGTGATGTCTTACATCCAGGACAAAGGACTTTTGTGTCTGGTTTGTTTGACTTTCTGCAATAATAGAAGCCATAGAATCTCAACTCATAACTTGTGAAACAGGTTTTTTTTTTTTACTGCATGGCACACAACATGGCATCTTAGAAAGGGCCTCAACTTGGATTTAGAAATGGCAAGTGATGGAGAATCTCTGTTCCCAGGAAAAGGTCTGAATGGTCACGTGTGGAAAGATTAACAAGTGCCTTAGTATGTTGGACCATTTTGTAAATTGTTTCTCAGTATATTGGTGTGAACTTGCCTGCCTTTTCCAAACTTGTCCACAAAACTCTTTATTGCTATGCCAATGCAATCAGGTATTTCTAGCTTAAAATGCTGCCTGTTCTAGCCAAGTCTCAGTTCTGGCACATGCGAACTGGTTGTTTCTGCTTTTGATATTTCTGCCACTACACTGGGGTGTAGATATAAGCTGTCTAGCCTGTGATGGAGGATATTTTAGCAACTTTTTTTTTTACATTCAGAACTGGCAGTGAATTGTGGCCTAGGAGCTTGTGCAACGCAAATGTTGTGTTGACAGAGTAGGGATGGCCGATTATATATGACAGTTGCTGCAGCTCCTTTGATGGGAGCTGGTGCTTTTGGTATATAGCAGCAGTTACAGAATAAGATTAGCATTTGGACAGACTTGGAATGACCAGTGTGGATTCAGAATGTTACATCATGAGCTAGGAGGAGCTTGCGTTGTCTCAGCAGTACAAACATGAAGTGATAAAGGTACTTCCAATCCTGAAGCAGGTTGCTGCGGCCACTTAAAAAGCTGACTACCCTAACTGCTACAGGTTTGTGGCTAATTGGTATTGTTGAGCCAACATTCAGTAGTACAGTGACAGAAGTTTGCAAGGCAATCACAGTTACAACCTGTATAGGCTATAGAAGTTGTTGGGTTTGAGATGCATCAGGCTATACTGTTTGCTCACCAATATTTGGTAAGCTAGAAAGGCAAGCTCATGGAAAAAACTTGTAAACAGAAATGTGGGCAGAATTATCATTTCTTCTCTGGGTAAGATTTTTCGTCTGTGCTTTTATCCCTGAGACGTCTGTGCCTACTGCTGCTGCCTTGACCCATGAGGCCATAACCTTGACTTCCAAGTACTGAGGAGAATAGCAGTGAAGTGTGATGCCCTGTGTATGTGCAAAATGGAGAGGAGATTGCTCAGGACAGGCTCAAGACATTGCTTGACCTGACCGGCAAACCAGCGGTCGGGAAGAGCCACTTAACAGTGGGACCCTTCATGAGATATAAGGGATAATATGTACCTCTGCAAGAGTCTAGGAGATGGCGACAAGCATAAGAAGTTGCTTGTAAGCATTTCTAAGATGTACTAATAAAAGCTTTAGTGCAACTTCCTAGTGCTCTTCCTTTTTCCTAAAATTTATATGCCAGTGTGTGGTTTACGCTCAAGTAACTTGAGTACTAATAGATAAGTATTAAAAATACAGACTGCAAGAAAGCAAGTAGAGGCATGACATCTTTCATAATGGAAAGATGTGTAAATGATAGTAAAACTGAAAAGTTTTACATTTTTAAAAAAGGTGTGAGAGCAAGATATTCAGCTCAATTACACATGAAACTGTAATTCTCCAGTACTGTTGTCTTACTAGAAGGTAAACCAGAAGACAGCAAATGCAAAATTTGCCTGTTTATGGCCTGGCTCACAATTCATCCTGTACTGTTTTTGGAGTTTTCACTGGCTGTGTGATGAGGTAACTTAAGAGTCAATGTTCTCTTTCTTGGTTTTTTTTAACTTTAAAATGGGACATGTCTCAATGCTGTATGTATGTTTAGAATAGTCAATTATTGTTAATTCTTAGCAGTGACATTTTCCTAAGGCTGTTCAATGTTGTAGAAGGGACCAAACTTAAAATACATGCACTTCTGCATGCACTTTACTTTGCATTCAAAAAATTTAAAAATACAGACTAATTTCAAACAATACATTTACATCAGAATATTTCTTTCAAGAAGAAAACTTACAGGAATCAAGTGGTCTTCTTCCTTCAAGCAATTGCTTAAGAATGTAAGGCAGCATGTTACTGCGTATTTCAAATACAAAAATCATACAAATAGTTGAAAAATACTGACGTATGTAAACAGCTTACTGCAACATACTGTGAAGGAGAATATCTGATATTTTCAGGGTTTGTTGTTGTTGTTATTTAATGTGGAGCAAGAAGACTGATAAAATCCTGGATAATAATACCCTGGGTTTTTTCTTTATTGAAAAATAAAATTGATATAAAGAACAGTAACTAGTTCCCTTCCATCTTTTAGTGTAATGTTTGTAGAAGGTTATAGATATTTGGGTGTTTTGATTTGTGACAGGCTTTTCCACTTAACGTAAGGGTAAGGTCTAAATAAATACATTCATCTTGCCTTGAAGAGGCTTAAGTGATCTCTATGGTTAGTCTGTTCCCTGAGAACAGAGAGCACCCAGCAGCCCAAGAGGACTGTTCAATTCCTTTCATGATTTACCCTACCAGTTTGCAGTTACCTTTTAGAAAAAGGTAACTATGCTGTATACCTCAGCATCAAGGAAAAGAAGTACCCAAAATGACTTCATAAAATGTACAGTATAACACATGCTCAGCTTTCTTGCTTCTACAGGAATACTTTTTTGACAAAACACCTTATACTATTATGTTTGGACCAGATAAATGTGGAGAAGATTACAAACTACACTTTATCTTCAGACATAAGAATCCTAAAACTGGAGAATATGATGAAAAACATGCAAAACGTCCTGATGTAGACCTAAAAAAATTCTATTTGGACAAGAAGACGCATCTATATACTCTTGGTATTGTTTAATTCTTATAAGTTTAAATTGGAAAGGAGAGATTAAAAATGTGTTTCTGTCCACTGAAGCTGGAGTCTGCTTTTTTGTTTGTAATAGTCTGTTAATTCTGAGGGGTGGTTGCTTATCGATTTGGGCTTAAATGATTATTTAATGACTGGGCTTAACTGCAGGACATAAAAGTGGCTTTGAAATGCTGCTGTTTAATATTCAATTACAGGAAAAAACATACCAGCCCTGGCCAGCCTTTAGTGTGAAGAATTGATTAATACTTTCAGTACTTATTGTGATAAAAATATTTTTGTTAGAAAGATATTAAAAAACCCACAACCGTCCAATATTCTAGGAAGGCATCAAAGTTCACGGGAATTCAGTTAAATCTGCAGCATGCCGCACACAACTCTCCTCCACATGTTAAGAGTTCTCTCCAACACCTGCATCTGCAGCAGTGTGCATGAGCAGATATGTTACCGCATTCTCTGAAGATGAATGAATGTGGGCTGGTTTTAATTCATGTGACATCTCTTTCTGTACCAATGAACAGTATAGCAGAGATGAAAGTTTCATTTCTTAGCTCTTTTTTTCCCCTTTTTCTAATTTCTGAGGAAGAATAAATAATCAGAGAAGAATGGGCTAATCTGTGGCATACTGCAAATCCAGCAAAATTGACTGCACTTTTGAACTTCTCTTGGATAATAATGGAAGGCATGTTCAACTGCTGCGCCATGGGCAAAACTTACTGTTCTTTTAAATAAATTACCATAGTGTGCCATAGCAAACTTTCACTTTTAGATAATAGGAATAAGTGAAACAAAACACTATTCTTGTGGTAAAGGAATGCATGTGTTCCTGTATGTGGGCTGTTCATTAGAAATGATGATTAAAGATACTTAAACTTGGTTTGCATTTATTCTGTTATAATTGTTCAAGTAGACTCCATAGAGCTGTGTGAATCTAATGCATTATGTGACTGATAACAAGTTTAAAAATCAGTTCTTTGTATTGTATCTAAAGTGATATGGGGTTTAATTTTTGCATTTATGGGTATTTTAATACTCTTGAAAACTGCCAGAGCTTCATTAGATATTATCAAACTGTCATTGTAAGACTTACTCTGGTTTTCATCACCCGTTTTTATAAAACTGTCATAAAAGTGGAATAGTATTTACTTTGAATTAATAATCTTTGTGTTGAATGGACATTTGAATGTACTTGTTAAGCACTTATAAATGTGCTCACTGGTTATTAGAAATGGATCTGGATACAACATCTGTTACTGAGTCTGACACTGTTCAGTTCTGTGACCCTGGCTTCTCAGTTACTCACACTTGCTAAAATACTTAAACATTTGAAGAGAATTTTCTGTATTCGCAGTCTGGCATTTGAGGGAAATGGCTGTCAGATTTGAATCAGAGAAAATAGTGCTTTGATGATCCTTCAGCTGTGTTACTGATGCAGTTCTTGTGTTTCCATGCTTTCAGGTGTGAAATTGTAATTTGGTAGCAGAGATGCTTTTTGGGGCAGACGTTTGTCTTTCATTGTCTGTGTTTTTAAGTAAATGAATAAAGCAGAATTTGGACAAGTGGTAGGCTTTTGAAAAATCTCTTAGAATGTGCTTGGATGCATTTCAGCAATTGAATTTGCTAGAGATTTCATTTTTGGGGGCCTGATACTGGTCATACAGCCCCACACTAGCAACTTTAATGTTTTGTGTCCAGATCCAGTACCTGGGTGGGAGAGTCTGTCTCCTGCTCTGCTAGTGAGGATCCTGTTTGCCATTATTTGTCTAAGTCTGTGCTTATTATATAGGTTTTAGTTAAAGATATTTGTAGAATGAATGCCTCCCTTATTTCTTTAATACAACTTTCTTCAATTTAGTGCTAAAACCAGATGATACATTTGAAATGTTAATCGACCAATCAGTTGTCAGTAAAGGAAGTCTTCTTGAGGATATGGTTCCTCCAGTAAACCCTCCCAAAGAAATAGAGGATCCTAGTGATAAGAAGCCTGATGGTTGGGATGAGAGACCAAAAATACCTGATCCAAATGCTGTCAAACCAGATGACTGGTAAGGAGAATATTTTTATCTGTACAGTACCTTTTACATGCAGGTTATTCATTTGAAAGATTTGCCTGGTTTTATTTTGGTTTTTTGCTAATGACAATTGGGATATGTTTCACTACTAAAAGCACTAAAGTTTGAAAACATAATTGAGGTGGGTACAAGGATCTGGTCATCTTCTAATGAAAGAAATAATTGTGCTTTTTGCTGATTTGTACCCTCCGTGGTTGCAATTAATAACTAAGATTACTATACCTGAAAGATTAGGAAGAGAGGGCTTTTTTTCACCATAGTCTTAACTTACATTCAGTGATTTCTACTTCTTTCTGTGTGAACTGCTGTTCATGTGGCAACTCACAAAGAGGAGGGAAAAACTTAATGGGAACACCTGACTGACACCTGCCAGTTGATGGCAGCAGTTTCTGGGCTAAGTAGTACTTTGAAACAATGTAAATATAATTCAAATATTTATAAACAGATAATTGGGTGTCTAATTCTCATGATCAGTGTGTCTAATTCTGTTGTGCCATTGAAAAATCATCCCTTTCATGCCAGTTACAGTCCTCTGAACAGAACATTGGTTCAATGTCAGGCTGCTGTATTTTCTAACATAAGCCTGTAATTGAAGGGATGAAGATGAGCCTTCCAAAATAGAAGATCCTGATGCTGTTAAGCCTGAAGGATGGCTTGATGATGAACCACAGTATGTTCCAGACCCTACTGCAAAAAAACCAAAGGACTGGTAAGAACTTGAATAAGTGCAGGTTGTTAACCTGTCTTGTAGATAAGCCTGCCTGTTCTCTGTGGCAGATTGAGTTGTGGATCAGAAGTCAATGTAAATCTCATTGTCTTTTGAGGTAGTAAGTTGGAATGTGTAAGGTATGGCCAAATATTTATTTTTCCGGGGGGGGGGGGCTGCTTTTAGAAAAACATGAACATGTCAATTGCCTTTTTTTTTCCTGAAGATATATAAACAAAAACAGAATATGAAGGACCCCTTTGAAAGAATTTGCTACAATGTTAAACCATGAAACAGTTTAAGTTGATAACTTGAAATCATCATATAATAGTTTCAAAGGGATCTCTAAGGGTCTTATGGAGAAGTGTTTCAAGCTGTCTGCAGCTGCGGGAATATAATTGCATTCAGTCATGCTGTGGTAGTTATGAACATGTGCCCTTTAAAAAAAAAAAAAGGGTGTTTATACTGTTGGGTAAAGTTCTGTGAGCTGGTCAAAATTCTGAGGTGGTTGTAGCAAAATGTGTATGGACCCTAACTTCAGACTGACTCTAGTGTTCAGACCAGTCCGATCTCAAACCAGTTGTTTGTGATTTTTTTTTTCTATAGGGATGAAGAAATGGATGGGGAGTGGGAAGCCCCTCAGATCCCTAATCCAAAGTGTGAAACTGCACCTGGTTGTGGACACTGGGTGCGTCCAATGAAGAATAACCCAAACTATAAAGGAAAATGGAAAGCACCTATGATAGATAATCCTAACTATCAGGTAATAACAATATTGTAGGTTGTTGTTAAAAGGTACAGAGTTCAACAGAGCAGGCAAGTCAAAGTAGTATATTTATCTAGGCTTTTTTACAGTATATTTATATTTTAGAATGAGTCTGAATACCCTCACTAAACACTTTGAGCTTTTTTGTATTTAATTTGCTTTTTTTTTTTCTTTAAGTATACTGGAAAATAGAAATGCTTCCTGTATTAAAACAATTTCTGTGTTAAAAGTTGCTTTTGCAACGATTTGCACTGGTACCACTTATTTAACGTGCTCTGTAGAATTGTATTCTGAATTATGTTATGGTCTTTTTAAATGAACAATTTTTTTTAATTAAAAAATTATACCTTTCAGTCAGCAGATTGACTTACTAGTTCAGTTTTAGTGGAAGCATCAATTTTGGATAATTAAATTCCCCTCCTCCCCTCCAGATGTAAGAGGTAATCAGTTGGATATTAAAGAGAGTCACTTTGTATTAATTATGGCTGGGGAGTACTTGAATCTGATTTCTTTGAGCTTAAGATCCTAAGCACGTTTGTAAACAAAATCTGGCTCTAATTTGCACAGGTATCATAAGGCTGAATTTTCCTTCCCTAAAATTTTCCCTAACACTTCTGGTTACAGTAGCTGTCAGTTTATATATATATGTACACACACACACACATATATATATATATACACACACACACACTCTGGAAGGGACTATGTGGATCACGGGACGTAGTTCCCTTGCAGTCTTAAGCCACCAGACAATAGATGCTTACCTCAGAAGATTCCATCACTGGCCACAAAATATTGACCAGTGCCCTTACAAAAATGTGTATGCTATATTGATGAACAAAAGCCAAAACTATGTATTACATAAGGAGAGACTAGAGGAAGAAGTAATACCAATGTCTTACTTTCCGGTAGTATTGGGAAATTTGTTTCCTAGACTTACTCTAGGAAGTTTACAAAGACTGTGCTTGGAATCACCAGTACCAGGAAGAACAGAGATACTTCATACAGTCAGTAATGACTGTAACCCTGTATGGACAAAAAAAAAAAATTTGAGGTCTGCCCTAAACCAGAAAATTGAGACCCATCTGCCAAAATCCTATAGGCTATTTCCAGTTCTGTTTTTATGTAGCTTAAACTCTACTGCTTGTCTTCTTAAATAATGCATTTAAAATAGTTGGGAAGTTCTAATTATTTCAAAAAATTGTTTCAGTTTGTTTTTTAATGAGGTATAGGTAATGTGATTACTTTTTTTTTTTCCCTTAAAAGGGAATCTGGAGCCCTCGGAAAATACTGAACCCAGACTATTTTGAAGATCTTCACCCGTTCAAGATGACCACTGTCAATGCTATTGGTTTAGAACTCTGGTCTATGACATCTGATATCTACTTTGATAACTTCATTATATGTTCAGAAAAAGAAGTAGCAGATCGTTGGGCAGCAGATGGCTGGGGCTTGAAGAAATTAGTAGCAAGTGCTAATGAGGTATAAGCTTTACTACGTTCTCAATAGCCAAAAGCAGTGAGGAAGATGTGCTGTTGGAAGAATTTTCTGTCAATTAATGCTGACAGAATATTAATTTGTCTGCAATTAATAGTCTTGCTGAGTAACTATGATAGTTCTTTTTTCTTGTAGTTTGGCTTTTTACCTTTCCGAGATCAGTATCCTCTTGAAATTAAAAGTAAAATTTTATTTAAACACCTAGCGAGAAATTGGCTTCGTTATAGTTAGTGAGTCTTCTGCTGTTCGCGGTGATACTAGCAATTCAGTACCTGTCAGCAGGTGGAAGCTGAGTTAAACTCAAAGACCTTTTTTTCCTTTTCTTTTCACTTGTGGCTAACTCCATTATATATGTTCTTTAGATGTTTCCCTCCCATGAGGAATGGATAAATAGTCGTGTTTTTTCTGTTTAATAATTTTAGGCCTTTGGCTGCTTAGATGTATATATTATCCAGCTCTGAAAATAGTGCATGTGTGTTTATGGAGCTGCATCTGTTCTGTTTCTATGTGTGCATCCACATTTTGTTTGTATACTGCACTTGGCCAGCTGCCACAGTTTTTTCTAGATCTCTTTCCTATGCAGTAGGATGAACTTGTCCTGACATACGGGATCGTGAGCCCCTCTAGCGGCTGCCTTCACTGACTACAGTTTCTTTCTAACAGTCCTATATTTTCTTTGAGTGGTAAGAGCAGGCCTGCAGTTGTGGGAAGGAAACGATGGGTTGGTGGCAAATGTGGCCAATTCCTGACAGCTGCTGTTTGTCACAGGATGAGCAAGTAGCAACAGCATATCTGCCCATGCAGTTAGGAAAGCCGTCTCCTCCCACATCCTTGCCCTTTTCTGAAATGTTTGGGTTTATGTCTGGACCTGCATCTGTACCTGTACACACAATAGCAAAAAATATTCCCTTGAGTCCCCTCACTCCACTGTGCCTCTCCAACTTCCTACCTTAGTTGGTGATGTACCCTTTCCAGAGTTCTTACTGGACCAGGCACTTGCCTACCTACCTCTACTGTATAAGTCAGAACTGCGCTGGGAGGACAACTTACTCCCTCAGTAATTGGCTGTCAAAGGAGAGGACGTGGTAGTACAGATGGAGCAAGACATTGCTCTTCAGGAGGCTGGCTGCTGCTCTGAGGTTCTTGATGCTTTGGGAGCTTTCAGCTGAGTTAGCACAGCAAGGGGAAGAAATAGAGTAGCTGGGAAGGGTGTAAAGTGTGATGTTGCCAAGATGCCAAATGTCGCTTTACAAAATTGAGTAGTGGCCAGTCTAGTATGTTTGGAGTACCAGGTTTGTTCTTTCTTACTTAGCACCTGCTATTTATTTGCAATCTGTCAAGTTGTTACTTTACTAGTATTGAAATCCAATATTATCTTAGTCATGAAAAAGCAAAGGTAGAGAAGGGGTTTTTTTGGGCAACATAAAGCTTAAAATATATACAGTACACTTTATAAATGTATTGATGTATTGAGAGGGATGTAAATACAAAATCTTTTTTTTTTTTTAATTGTTTTTAATAAAGCCCGGTATGTTTAGTCAACTGGTGACTGCTGCGGAAGACCACCCATGGCTCTGGGTTCTCTACATCTTGACTTTAGCTCTCCCTGTTGGTCTAGGTGTGTTGTTCTGCTGGCCAGCAAAGGTTAGAGAAATTTAATATATTTTTTATTTGGTTTTATTCTTAATACTTTATTTGAAAACTCCTAGCATCTGTGCAACAATATGCACTTTTAATGTGCCATTGATACTACTTAGCTTATAGTGGTTTTTGTGTTTAATTCTTAATTTGAGTTTAAATGTAATTTGATTTTTAATTTGTTGTAGAAAACAGATGAAGATATTGACTTCAAAAAACCTGATATATCTAAGCCAATTACAAAGGGAGAACTAAAACCAGAGAGAGAGGAGTTAGAAGATGATGAAATAGAATTAGAAGAAGAAAAAGAAAACGAAGGTACTGCTGAAGATGGTAAGATAAGCAAGCCAGCTTGCAGTTTGATTAAATATAAAGACATGAATAGGACTAGTTCATGGATTGCATTGCCAATAATTACAACCAGTTATCTTGGAATTTGCAAAACCTGCCTTGCTCTGAGTCTTCTTTTTCTCTTTGACAACCTCCAGCAAGTGGCGTTCCATGGCTAATAGCTCTTTGAACAATACAAGCGGAAAGTAAGGCTCTCCTCAGTATTTTTTCACTTTCAAGAAAGTAACGTGCTTCTGACAGTCTTTTTATGTTTGTAGACAGTGACGTATATTTTCTCCCTTCTAAATATTTCATATATTGAACACATTTGAATGGTTCAGATATATGTACCTGAGGTGGTTAAAGTCACATTGTTGTCTTTAAACTGTGTCTGGAATAGCTTTAAGTCTTTAACATAAGTCTTTCTGCTTACTCCTCTGTGGGAGGGTTGTACCTTGAACTATTCTGTTGGTCACTGATGTTAGTAACCCTTGTTAAAGCCTGAAAATACAGAGACTTGAAATACTGAAGTCTGCTGCTTCCTTTGTGTTGCTTTCTAGCAATGCATTGCGTGCCTGCGGAGGTCTATCCTGCTGCCCCAAGGGAGAAATCAATCGTTCAGTAGGTTGAGCTATACTTCGGCATCCAAGGATAAAATCATCTTGTGTTACTACTATATCAAAGATTACTGGTACTACTCAACTATGGCTTTGATGTTCTGTTAGCATTTCCCTGAGTCTACAGTAATGAATAAAAAGCAAATCACCTAGCCTATAGTGCATTATCTTGACTTCCATGAGAAAATCCTTAGCCTCAGACCTCTGCAAGATTCTACCTCTTACTTCACTCTTCCTTGGTAGAAACAAGAAAGTGACAAGTGACTTGCATGGAAAGTTAGAAACCTAGCAGACGTGCATGGGTGGGTTTTTTTTTTCTTCGTACTGACATCACTTTGTATTACTGACTGAAACTTTGTGGTTTTTGTCTGTCTCTGCACTATGTTCCATGAGTGTTGATGGCTGCTGCCTGTATGACTTAAGTTTACTCAGCACCAGATGTTCCCATGCCAGTACTTAAAGAATTGAGTACGTTGTTGACACAATGCTTGCCACACCAAACTTAGTCCATCTGCCTTACCATTCAAGAGCCTTACCTAGGCATTTAATTATTTTAGTTATGCCACATATATTTTTTACATTAGCATAAATTGTAGGTACGGTATTTCAGCATTGTACCTTCCTGCATTTTTCCTTTTGATCTTACTCTACTTTACCTGCTCCTTGTTCCTGAATTACAGAATCTTTTTCTTTTACACAGTCTTGATGCAAATCATAGATACGTTTTGTACCTAATATGCTACTGCTGCAAGGCTGTCTGTGATACCTGAATTCCAATATTCTTCCGTTAAGTCAGTCAGTTAATTTAGTTAATTACAACACATCGCTTAATAAATAATATGTTGAAGTGTGTGTTTGAATGTTAGAAATAAGGTCCAGGCAATCGCAGAGGAATACTGTTTAGATCCCACAACATTTTTAAAGAAGTCCACTTGAAACAGCTGTTCATGATGTTTCAAAAGTAGGTTCCATTTTAGACCTTTACTTTTAGTTACTGAACTGAACACAGAGTAAAACTAACATAGTTAGCTTTTGTATGACTATTCCAAGGTTTTCAAGTAAATTCTAGGCTTCAGAGGGAAGGATTACACTTTGCTGTGTCATATGACTGCCCGGTTTCTCTTTGTTTAAGAAGAATTGCTTCACTTCCCTTAGTTTCCTGTCACCTTTTACATTTTCAGGTTGAAATCGTCCCTTTTTTTTTTCTATCACTCTTGCCTCTTCATATCTGAAAGCATTAGGGAATTTGTCTTCTGCCTCCTTCTGCTGATTCTTTTTGCTACAGAGAGAAGAGAAATGGAGGAGACAAAAAGAGAGCTTATAAAGGATACAAAGAAGATGGGAAGGGAGGCTCCTCCTTCAGGTACTGGGAAAGGGAAGTAATTTGAGCCAGGACTTGAAAATGGTCTCTCCTTTCTGGTTTTTTCCCCTCTGCTTCCTTGTTGATGGTAGAACTTCAAGCTGGTGGATGCCAGCTTTCATCAGATACGGATGTGGGTTTCCTCCAAGATTTCTCAGTATGGTATCTGTACTTATAAATATTTTCTGCTGGTCTCTTTGGGTCCTAATAATCTCTACAATTCCTTTATAGTCATTATCTGCTGCTTTGTTTTCTGGAGTTGAACGTAATGGGGTTTGAGCTGTGGAATACTGAATGGCTTGAGATCCACATTTTATCATGGGGACATTAAAAAAAAAAAAAAAAAGAAAAAGCATGGCACAATTGGAAATTTCAGAAACATTTGTAGATTTCTTTGGCTCCAGTGAGAATGAGTTGCTGGCAGAGTGCTTCTTGAAGGGCATTGTCTGTGGGATTTACTGAATTATTTTGTTCTATGTCAGTTTTTGTGGCATTGCTAAAGGATGATGTGTTCTTGACTTGTCCGCTCATCTACTTTGTCTCCTTGCTTGCCTTGGCCTCTAGAAGAATATTCCAGGAAGTGAAAGAATGTTGCCAAGAAAGGGAATTTCAGGGGCACAGTCTGAACCTTCTTGTGAAGTTACACGTTTATATGAAATACTGATTAAATTAATATTGGACTAAATTAAAATCAATAACTTCAAATAGTATAGTTGTCCAGTTCTGGCTTTTACTACTTCTGATGTCTGAATTTTTGGGCTTGTTTTGTTTTTTTTCCCCTCTATTGGAATTAGTACTTATGGGAGGTGCTGCATTTGCATAATTTAAAATTTCTAATCTCTTCATTAGAATATGAGCAAAGGCTTTGTGAATTTTTGCCAAGCTCTTCTGTTAAGGGCTTACTTTTAGAACAGAAATCTCTGTCTACATCTATCTTAAACTATGGTCTCCATTTTTTTGTCATATTTCTCCTTTTGGTAACAATAGTAGAGACATTAGTGTAGACATGTATTAGGTATATTTACAGATGGGAAAACTAATTTCTTAGAGCTTCACTAATAGTTATGAACTGGTTGGCTCAATTTATAACTACAGGTAGGCAAAGTTTTTTTGGTACTCCTACAGAAGTCTCAAATATTTCAATAAATTAGGGTTTTCTAGATTTCGGTCACCAAGAATGAGGAGAGTTGCATCTTATACGTGACTACCATCTGAATTTATGTGGTTACTTTTGTTTCAGTTTTACTGAGCTTGAAACAGTAAGAATTGGGGGGTGGGGGTGAGTGTTGGCTTTTTGGTTTTGTTTTTTTTTTAACACTGAAGTAGTGCTTATGAGATGTAGGCATGACCTGACAAGGATAGAATTGAGCACTGCTTCGTCACTGTTTTTAACTGAGCCACTGGCAGACTGTTAAGTTGTAAAATGCCACCTTATATCCTTTCTATCAGATTCAGGTTTGATTTCTTGTTTGTTCTTGATAGAAAGTATTGCAAAGGGTACTCAATTTCTAGAAATTCTCACTTCAAGATCTCTGAAGTAAAGGAAGAGACTTGCCAAACCCCAGTAACTTTTCTTTGAATCATGCTGTGGTTGCTGAGGCTTAGTTCTTATGAGCATAGATACCTAAAATGCAGGCATGGGAGTGCCAGCTTGTAAGTACTGAAGCCCAAAGTGGAAATCAAAACAGTTGGGTGCCTGGCCTCCTTCACAAAATATGCAAAATATAGAGAGTTGGTTACCCTAGAAGGGAAACCTACGTGCTGATCAGAGAGCACCCTACAATTCGCAATATTTGGTGCGTGCACTGCTCTTTAGTGCAATGGCATGGCCTCAGTAAGAAGGTAGAAACCGCCTCTGTGTTGCTTAGCCTATAGTTTGTCCAGGGGATTCTGGAGAGTAAAAAAGTATTTTTTTTTTCTTCATTTTTTTCCTTTCCAGTCCCTGTCAGTTCAAAGGTCTGACTGACGCTAGGTCTCATAGAAAGCTTACTACTCTTTGTGAATAGTTTTATCCTAGTAGTACAAGCTGGACATACTTCAAGTGAGCTGAGAGGAGTATAGTGCTTTTCTGACTAGTTTCTGCATTGCAATAATGCATAAGAAGGGGTTAAGCACAGAGCTGCTTATCCCTCAACCAAAACAGTATGTCAAAAGAATTCCCTGCTGAAAAGGGGAGTTCCCTTAGGATGTAGGCATCCCCCATGGTGGATGACTGGTAACTGCAATATTGTACTTCGCTCTCTAAGTCAGAACTTAGTCAGAGTTGGGATGCCTGACTTGTCCTATTTTGTACTCCAGTCTCAAAACTGGCTAATACAATACTTGGATTTAAGGACTTCCCTAAAGGAAACCAACTTAAGGTCGTCATTTTAGTAGGTCACTTACAAGTCTGAAGAGAGTATGTGCTATTGTGAAAAGAGGCTAGGCTGAAGCTGTTAAAATTGGTTATTAAACCTGACAGTGATCAACTTCTACTAATTCATGAGAATTCTATTCTCTGTATCACAGAGATGTTTTTATGGGTTATTGTAAACAAGTAGTTCATTCTAAGACTGAAACTGGCTTCTTTTCCTTACTAATGTATCTGGATATAGTGCATTTTTAATATAGTTCTGTTTACAAAGTAAAATTAATTTCTTCTGCAGAAGATGAGGGTGAAGGTGGTGAAGATGATGATGATGATGAAGAAAATGAAGTTGCAGATGGAAGTCAAGAAGAAGGTGATAAGTCAAACAAATCTGGTTCAGAAGATGAGGTAAGTTTGGGGATTTTCCCCTATTTTCTCCTTGCCCTTGTCTAACATAGCAGTTCTAACTAAGCCTAGTTACCTACAACAAGAGTTTTTCTTCTGTTGAGCCATAAAACAAATCATGAGGTGGGGATGTGTTTTTATTTGAGTTTGTCACCTCAAATGCTCTGTATAGGTTTGTGAAACATGTCTCTTCCTGTGTAATTTTGGCTAGGAGGTGATATTTGTTGTAAAATACAGGTATAGTATAGAAGTGATCATGCAGGTCTCTAAACATGAAACATCTTTTACAGTATAGTTTTTTTAACAGGTTATTAAATGAATCGCAAGTCTTGAAAATTTGGATGCTGCAGTAGGTGTCAATTTCTCTTTATCATGCTACTTAATTGGTGGAACATGTGCTTCTAACCAAATAGCCTTTCTGTGAGACCTAGAAGAACCTTAAGCTTTCAGTTACCTTTTTTTTTTAATTCCAAAATAAGGTTTTAAGCAAAATGACCATACTGGTTTTGAATTCAGCACCTGCAGTTTCATTTTTCTTGTGCCAATTAATCCAGTCAGCAGATAATCTATAAAATGTTTTCAGAAAATAACATTGTCGAATGGAATTTGTGTGTGCTTTTCTTACTTGTCAACTACTCATTATCCTTTCACTTAGAAACGGTGGTATGTCTGAAATGCTTTAGATCCACCCACGGTATTTCTGTTGGTCATCTTGTGCTTGTCACTCCCTAAATGAGTGCCTTCCCAGATTAGGGGAGTTGTTTAGTGCACTGTTAACTCCTTTTCATATAAAACTCCTCTAGGAAACTGTACTTTGCATGAAGTTGCATTGTGTCAGCAGTGAAATTCTTCATTAATTACCCCTTATTCAGTACTTCCTCTTCCTGTAAGAAGGTGTTTTTTTTTTTTCCTTGTACACTTACCTAGGAATACAGTATCTGATGAACCCCATTAAGATGCATGTGACTTGGTGAAAGCAATAACAAGATCTGAATGTGTGTATGCCATTACACAGTATCACAGTGAGGTTATGGCTTGCTCTTCTCTGGGTATTTTCAGGCCGTGCAAGTTTCTGTCATGAGTTAGCTAGTGACCTACTTGGGAGATGTCATGCACACCATGTCCTCATTCAGGTTGTGCTGCATTCTGTGAGCTGTTTCTTCTGAATGAGGTGCTTGCCATTAGGTGATGCAGGAAAGTGAGGAAGCAATGCATTGTCTGAGAACGGAGTTCATGTTGGAAAGGCTTTTCATGCGCCTCTGTAAACTAACTGCTTTTAAACTGAGAAGAATACATCTGATTTAAGAACAGTCTGTTCTATTTGTAGCTTTCCAAAGGTGGCAGTTAGAATGTTTTAAATGCTTCTTGCTTAAGAAGTGGAAATTAAAGTTAGCATAATACGCACTTTAAGGAAGTTGCCAAATTCATTAAAAAGTCACTGCTTTTAAACCAATGAGTAAATGGGCAAAACCAAATTTCTGACATCAGTTTAGATGTCGTATTCTCTTCCTTCTCAATATGGAAAGGAAAAGTCTTCTACCCGCTTTATTTATCATTAGATTAGTATTGTGGAAAAAAAATGTCCTATCACTTAAGTGTTGCACTTAGTGATAATATGACTGGGGGGGACGGGAGGAGGAATAAAGTAACATGCCAGTTTCAATAATTAAAATTGGTTTAAAATTTGAATGCTGAATTTTTTTATTTTCTTTTTTCAGATGAAAGAAGCTGATGAAGGCACCGGTTCTGGAGATGGTCGACTGAAATCAGTGCGCAAAAGAAGAGTACGAAAGGACTGAGTTACTTCCAGCTAGTATTTGTAGGTCTAGATAATAGTAACTTCTGGTATGCCACTTCAGTGGGCCTGACAGCATGCAAGTTCCTGAGATTTGAAGGAAAAAGGCGAACTCATTGCTACTTAAGCTCCTATTTTAAGTCTCTAACCTCTTTTAACCTTCCCAAACTTCCTTGATTCCCCTTTTTTTAAGGAGAAATACTATTTGTGAGGAGTTAGCTGATGTTTCGAATTCAGAATAAAAGTGGAATTACAAGTTGGCCAACTGATTTTAAGGTGAAGATTCTTAAGATTTGAAGACTCCTAGAAATTAGTATTAGTTGGAGATAAACTTACTCTAAATATTTTTTAGAAACATAATAAATTATAATATTTTTGCAGCTCTAGCACAAAATAACTGTTTACACTTTTCGGCTAAAAGAGGATGGTAGTATAGACATAGCATCTCTGGCAGTTCACATTGCTATGAGAAAAGGTATTTTTTTCTGTGCAGAGCTAAATGCAATAATTGTTTTTGTATGATGATTTAGTGCTAGCAACAATTTTTATTGTAAATTATTTTAGTTGATCTTGTTACATGGGTGGTCACCTGTTCACTTTAGACATTAGTTACAGTAATTTATTTTAAAAATATATTTTAAAATAGAATACTCATAGAACAAGTGGTAATTGATGTGACTTGTTTTACTTTCGAATGCAGGTATCAAATCTGCAGAAGTGATATACAGATGATTTTTTTCAAACTTTTGTAATTCTCATGTTCCAAGCCACAGTGGTATATCCTCTGTTTATAGAATACTTGCTAAGTGTACATTGCCTCCTAAAAATATTTAATAATTCTTGCTTAACGTGAAATTTATTAATATAGATAAGAATTTTTGATGGATTAAGTTTTTTACAGATGTGAGTAACTGGGCATTCTCATAATATAGTTTAAATAAACTGCATATTGTAAAAGTGTTGTTTGTTGAAGTTCAGCTGTATATTAAAACAAACAATAAAACTGCAGTCACCAGAAACCTCTTGCTGCTTGGCAGCTGCCTATAATATTAGTAGGATGTAAAATGCTAGCAAAAGCAGTCATACACTAGAAACAAGTAGAAACACATCAATGCATAAGGAACCTAACAGATTTCCTTGTGCCTGGCAAGAAGTTAGTTCACTTAAAGAAATCTTTTCACAGCAAATCGAGTCAGCAAAGATTCCATGGAAGTCTCTAACAAATGAATGCTTAATTAACCCTAATGAAGAAGCCAGTGTCTTCAAGTGCTTGTGTTGAAGTGTTCAAAAGTTAATTATATTGGACTCTATTTTGTGAGAACTACATGGAAAGGCCTCTATTTTTTTGTTTGTTTGTTGGGGGTTGTTTTTTTTTTTTTTAAGTTCAATGCAAGTTCCCTCCTCTTTATTTAGGGTCTACATGCAAAAGGTAAGAAGTGAAGACTCCAGATTCCCCTGCCTGCCTGTGACTTTTCAGCAATAGATAGAAGTTGTTACCAATGCGGTATCCTGCTAGTAACAGCTACTGTGAGCTGTCGGGGAGCATTTCAGCGCTCCTTTTGAATGAATGAATGAGCCTGGTAAAAGTCCTTTGGAATTGTTACAGCATTCGAGTGTGGTTTTGGGGTTGGTTTTTGTTTGTTTCTTTCTTTGTTTTTGGGTTGGCTTTTGTTTGTTTCTTGGTTTTGGGGTTGGCTTTTTTGTTTGGTGTGATAGTTACTCCAGGGATTGGTCACCCCACAGGGGATGCTAGTCTTCCCTTAGGGTTTTGAACTTAAGGTTCCTGTAAAGTCTTGATTAATGCCCCATCAACATCTTTGCTTGTACCCCACTTGAGTAAATAAGGAGCCATTTATTATGGGTAAAATGGTCTTGTGAGGCCATGACTCAAGGGTGCTGTTTGCAATAATACTGACTCTGTAAGGCCTATCTCACTTTAATACTGACTTAATGACTTTGATAACCTGGAGATAGAATCCATCCTTCTGCACATCAGCTTACTCGGATAATGCTAGTAAGTAGGGGAGAAGTATCAGAACTTTGGGGGTTTGAGGCTCTAGATCTAGAAAGCCAGGCAAAAGGGGAACCCCCTTCCATTGACACTTGTAACATGGAGATTTCACCTGCAGTTCCCGTGCATAGTCCATCTATATCTGAACAGGTTTTTCAGGAAAAATACTTGATCTTGCTGTCATGGCTGCTTGAAAGTGCTTTGAAATTAACCAACTAATGATAATCCAGTTCCAGGATGCCTTGCTATTAAAACTGTCAGTCATCTCTGGAACTCCATGAGTATCAGACCTTCGCAGCCTGCACTCCCACCGAATACATTGTAGCTTAATAAAACTGGTCTTACTGAGGATGCCAAATCCCAGACTGAGAGTTGTCTATATTCAGGGAAGGCTAAGTAGGCCTTCTTATTTAATTACAACTGAAGCTACTCCTCAGTTAGCTTCCACCTTCATTAAGGTATGATGGAAGTAATAATTCTGGTTTCTGTCTACTGTAGAGCTCCTTACCTGTGTAGGAAAAGGTAAAATCTCTTCTATTCTAACTTGGCTTAAAGTTCTCCCATGTGGAGAGGTGCAAGTTTTAGCTTTGACAACACTGGATGCTGTCTACCAATCCTTTTCCTTTTTTCCTTTAGCCAGAACAGAAAAGTATACAGAAATGTAAGATTCATGGGTGAAAATACCAAGTGAGTCAGGAACTGGAAGCTTGCTGAAAATAGATTAGTTAACCCAGGTTTAATCTTAATACTTGCTAATTACATCTAGTCTTTTAGACACTTCAGCTATGTACAAACACAAGATGATGGCAAACCCTACTACTTTTCCACCTTTGGACTACAGATAGTTATGAGAAGTTCTAGGGTTAACAAATGTTAAACCAAACTAATCGAGACAAATCAAAAGTTTTTATTTAGTGTAAAGTCAGAAATACAACATCTTTAAAATGTTCATAAGTTAAATGAAGGCCACAGTAGTGGGATGTAAAATGGTATATAGATGAAATGACTACTATATATACACCGATGGATAAAGTATCACTATCCAATCTTACAATACAAACCATGATTTTAAGATTACTCGATCTTGGGAAATTGCTGAAGTCTAACAAGCGCATGCTCTGTTACCACTTGATCTCCTACAGTGCAGATGGAGATGTGCAGTGACATGGCTTTAAAGCTAGGATGGCTGTAATGCAATGCAATCTTTAGAAGTCAAGTGCTTGGTGTGATTTTTTTTTTTTTTTTTAATGCTCAAACCCTGGACTAACCGTGTGATCTACTCTACCTGCTAGCAATTCTTAGATGAACTTAGAGTTCCATAATAGGCAGTAAAGTGAGAGAGTAGCCCATAGGAGATTAAAAATAATTTTGGATGTTTACAGGACCCCATGACGCAAATGGTATCAGCCATTTGTGCCTTGGTGGGTAAAACTTTTTTCATCATCAGGTTTCTTGACTCAGACTTGTAAACAGCCCTGGAGACCAAACTATTAGTGCTTTGTTTGCAATCATCTGACTTTGCTGACATTCCAGGGAGTGCCGTACAGTCATCTTAAATGGGGAGAAATGGGAGATGTCTCCTTTGGGAAGGGGGAGCCTCACAATGTCAGCTTACACTTGAGACACAGTAGTGCTTAGCTGCCAAGAAACTTGGGGTTTGAGGGGGATTTATTCTGCTATTACATCCACTCACTCAGTTCCTGCAGCTTTACTTTATAGAATTCATCACGGCAAGATTGAAAGAGATCCTTGAACTAGTGGTTTCCTTTTGTTAAAAGGTAAGTACAATGGCTTCATTACTGAAGAGACAGACCTCAGTTCTCGGTAACATCCATAAATAAGTCTGCAATGCTGCTGCATGGCAAGATGAAACAGATGCAACTGAGTGCTGCTAAAACTTACATCGTTGTTTGTATTTCAGCTTCTGCTCTCCCTTAACACTGATTATGTTAGACATGCTGCCTCTATGGGAAGTGCTCAGACCCGTAATCTGGGCTGAGCTCCTTTACAAAACCTGCTAAAAAACCAGCCAAGCCAGTAAAAAACAGGGCACCTTGACACTAGGCATTGTTCAGAGCAGCACAGATCTGAGAGGCAAAAGCCACCTTTTGTTCCACTGCAGTCTTCTGCCTTAGATGTTTTTGTGCAGTGCCTCAAGAGGTACTTCACAAGCTCAGGCTCTGGGGCAGGAGAACAGTTGCTCTAAGGCCTGAAGCAAAGACAAGTTTGGCACTTCAGGAGGAAAGTAAAAGGTGGCAAGGAAAGGCTTGTTCTCCGTTCCTCACTGCGTATTGTTCACAAGGAGCACGAGGAACATTGCTGACCACCTGTTTCTGTAAAGCTTATTACTCAGGTTTTTATTTAACTCCTCCTCATCACACAACTGAAAAACTTCAGGAAGATCATACATCGTGATGCTGTGCCTGATCGTTCTTTGAGGAAACAGGAAAGTGAAAGTGGTTTGAAGTGTACATCTTGCAAACTACAAACACTCTGATACTGCACCAATTTGGTATTTCCCTGATGTAAGTTGCTTATCCTTGTTCCTCTTCCCTTACCCTCCCCCTTCCCAAAAAATCTTATGTGTTTTTCTGCACGCAAGCCCTGCAAATACCATCATACTGTTACCACTTCATAGAAATTCTTAACTGGTTTATAGGTTTTTGTTTAAAGTTGCTTTGCAGAGCTATGGAGAATACTATACAGTAATCTAAATATATTTGAGGTGGAAAAGGCGATGCAATTAGACTTCGAATATTTTTATCAAACGAGGTTTCAACACAATATTGTAGTATTTTGCTAGTCAAGAACACTACCCTAAGACCTCAAAGAGCGCCAACAGACTTTTGTTTAACCTGACAAACTGAATCCAATTTTTAACAAGAGATGCTCATTTTTAAATGAAAGTTTAGTAAGTCTCTACACTACATTTGCACATTGCTTAATCTTAACAATACACAAACTTATGTCTCCTGTTCATGACAATGTTCTTAATTCTCTTTATCACCAAAGTTTATAATCTTCAGGTATCCAGTAAAGCCACAAACCAAGGTATTTTAGCTCATGTAGCCTATGCCAATTAAAACAAAAAAAGACAGCAGCAATACAATGACATCATCTGTGAGTCACCTTACTTCCTTTTGCTTTTTGTGTCAGTTGTTTGAAAAACACTAGATGCTGACATCAGATTTTCTATATACTGTCCAAGAACTTGGTTTTCTGATTTCAGTTTCAAGTTTTCTTCCTTAACAGCATCTACTCGTGCTGAGAGATCTGCGAAGGTGATATTATAAGAAAAATATTAGACACTATTGCATACAATAATGAATATGTTCTGTGTGCCTACATCAAACTATTCACGCTTCTAATGCGGGAAACACTGCCATAAGGTATTCTCTTATAAAACACTGTGCTACTCACAAGTCTTATCTAAAGCCCATTTTTCCGGTATTATTCTGTAGTATTTTGACAAACTTGTTACACAAACTTACTGTTAGTCTGTATCTTTATTCTTTTCTTGAATTCTTGAATTAAGCTATTGCAAACTAAACCTTTTGGAAACAAAAGTTTGATGATGAGCAGACTCAAAGGTATGTGTTCACTAATGAGCCTGGGAAAGTTAACCGTATCGCCCCTTCTGCTTGATATGTATTGTGAGAGTCGAGCAAACATTATGTTGCATAAAGAGGGGAAAAAAAATAGTTCTGAGACCTTGCTTATGTACCTTCAACTGCATAAGTGACAGTAAGGTTCTCTTCTTTCGTTTATTACTGTGTGCTTGTAAAAAATCTGACGTGTCAAACTGCTAACCTTCAAGTGTGTGCTGCAGTTCCAAAACTTGATTAATAAGCCGTGTTTTCTCTTCTAATTCCACCTGATTCTCAGCCTCAACAGCTGCAATAAATCATACGAGTTTAATGCAACCTCTGTAACAGCTGGAAATTATACTAAGTAGAAAAAATAACAATGAAGAACAAGAACATTAAGAACTTATACCATCCATGTCGGCATTCATCATCGTAGAATGGGCTCTTTCCACTTTTGAAGAGAATATTCCTGAGAGATGCACTGCTTAAAGAAAGAAAAAAAAAAAGAGAGAACACTAAGGCAACCGTTAATGTAACTGCCTTTATATTTGGATTTTGGATGCATTTTTCTAATTGGTTTTGAAAAGCCAGCACTTAAGCCTGAGGCAGAACAGCATTCGACATTCTTTAATTATTTTTCCTAGAGCCTTACGTGGTATGTAAATGTGATTCTTCAACTAACTGTGCTTCAGTTGACAAAAATGACTGATCTAGATTACTCTCTAACGCATAAAATAACGCTGTGTTTCAGTGGTGCGATTGCCGCCTCCTGAGCGCCGATCTTTCTGGAATTGGCTATTAAAGAAAGAGAGCAGCAGCGGGGGCCCCCTTCGTCGTCCACCCGGTTCCGCTGCCGT